TTGTTTAATAGGTAGAAAGGGATATGCGACTCAAAGCATAATGGTCGTATGTGACTTTGATATGTGTTTCACATTTTGCTTACCAGAATGGGAAGAAAGTGCACATAATACTCGAATCTTCTTAGATACAATTAGGAATCGTAGTTATAATTTTCCAAAATCACGAGGTAACTGTTTTATATTTGATTGCTACAGTAAATGCACCACACTCACATCTTCATATTTATTTTTACATTTATAATTGCTTACTTTACCGCCGGGTAGCTCATCATTACTTGCTCGCAGGTGATCGGACATCGACGGAGCTCGGAAGAAAGGAATACGGGCACGCCGGAATATTTGCTCTCCGTACAGATACCATCTAGCTCAATTTGAACATGGTCAAACCCCCAAAAATGCACAAGAAAAATTCAATCAAGTACATTCATCACTTAGAAGTGTAATAGAAAGAACATTTGGGGTTTGGAAAGTAAGATGGCCATTGATAAAGAATATCGCACCAAACTACAAGTGGCCGACCCAAGTCAAACTTGTTTGCGCAACAATGGCAATTCATAATTTCATCCGACGAAGTGAGTTCCGCAATATTGCATTTGGCTCTTATGATAGATTCACGGATTATGTGCCTAATGAAGAGGAAGGATCTTCGTCTCAACAAGCACGCCATGGAAATCATGTTGCATGTAATGACAGCGAAATGGAAGTGAGGAGACATAATATTTGTATGTCAATTTGCAGACGAAATTAGGAGTTCTTTAAATATCTAGGAAGTTTTATTTTTATTGCCTTAATAGTAATTTATTGTATTTTTATTACTATGACATTTTTTTGTTCCCTTGTGAACTCAATATTAAAAAAATAAATAAATAAAATAAAAAAATTGAGGTAACGGAAAAATGAACCAAATTAGGTACTAATTATATCAACTTCCATTAATGAAATAACTTTTTCAAAATTTAAAGTGAAAAAAATGACAAAATTACAATTTTTATGTTCATAAGGGCAAAAATGACAATTACACAGCAAAAAACTATTTTACAACTTATTTACCAAATACTACTCTGCTGCTTAAATCTATAATATCACAGCTGCACCAAACAGATTACCAGCTTATGTTCACAGATGTAAGCTATAATCTGTTAAGCTATAATCTGTTAAACTACAATCTGTAATCACTTTCCTACAATTCTACCAAACGGGGCTATTTTCCAACAATGTGACAAAGGAGTTGGGTTGTATATAATTAGGTGTGTAACAAATTACCAAGCTTAATAGAAAAAATAAAACTCCTAATTATTCTCCTATACAACAATAAAATTATCAAAATTGTTTATTAAAATATATTTATGACATCATTAAAAACTATTAATTGACTTGTTGGTTAATTAATTAAATACGTCATTTGTTATGCGATTAAAAAATTCAAAAGGTGATATATCAGTTTCAAAATCATAAATCACAATTAATGAAAGTTGAATGATCATTCAATAGTCTCCCGATAGAATGACCAAAATGAACTAACCCAAAAGACACTTTTATATTAAAAAAAAAATTGAATAATTAGTTTGGTGACTATTTGAAGTTAATATGAATTTAGATAATAGCACAAATGGCCGTAAACAAACGGATAATTCTATTTCCACACACCAAAACATCTCATTCCACATCCTCTCTCAATACACATACCAACAAATTATGAATTTTGTGATTTTACTCATTGCACAACTTTTTTTGCCAAAAATATCCCTCTCTTTGACATTGAAACCCTAAACCAACATCCATTTGTAAGGGTTGTTTCTTCTCCCCTGCTTTGGTCTGAAAAAGAATGCAAATCAAGAGTTACCCATTTACAACAGTGATTGACAACCCTAATCGAGACAATGCTCTGATCAATCCTTAATTTGTGTAATCCATGTATACTCTGTCAATGCTACATTGAATTCATAATCTATATTTGATAGCCACTCACTACAGAATCGCAATTCAATAGAACCCTACCTCATCTCTCACTATATAATAACAAGCTCCGTGAATCAATGAGAAAATGGTAGATTGTTATCAATCAAATCAATTGCCATGTTTTTTAGTATCTACTATTGTTCTTCAACAGTTGTCGTCTCTTGATCAGTAACAATGCCACCACACCAACTTGAATTATACCCACAAACATCAAACCAATTTTCTTCCCCAAATTGAGGTTTTCTTTGGAAGTTAGGCTTGCTTTTGCATGGCCGCTTTCGCTTTGTGATTCTTTCTTCCTATCGTTATCTTGAGGCAACGACTTCGCAGTCGCACGAGAAGGTGTCCTCGGCGGTGGCTGGCGATTAGAAGAAGGTCGATAGGGTGTCCTCGGTGGTGGCCAGCGATTGGGAGGTGGAGATGTTAGCGACGGAGTCAGCAGTAGTGGAGGTGATGATCTAGGGGACGACGGAGAATGAGGAAGGGAAGATCCAGGTGGCTGCAGAGGAGGGAACGATGGCGAAGAAGGAGATGTTGGCAGCGACTGAGGAGTTGGTGGAGATTCTAATCCAAGATTCAAATTTTCTTGAGACTACACGATTCGAGAGAAAATACCTAGGAAAATCCCCAAACCAAGAAAGACAAATGTCAACAATGGTGAATCCATTCAACAACGATCAAAGTGTGTGCATAGAGGAGATGAAAAAATTAGGGTTTGGTGGAGAAGATAAGGACACTTTAGTAATTTTATTTTAGAACAAAATTGTAATAAAAAAATAAATCATTAAGTGTGTACTCAGAGGTAAGTATGTGTGTAGAAATAGAATTTCCCTAAACAAACACTTAAAAGTTAAAAATATATTAACTTATACAAATTTGATATAATTATATTAGACTCCCTCAAAATTTTAGTTTTATTGAAAAAGAAAAAAAGTATAATTATTTTAAAATTGTAAGACTTATTATATTTTTTTTCTAATTTCTATTTTTTATAATATAATTTATATAATTCCATCATATATCTAATGATTTAATCTATTCAATTTTATAAAATAATATTCTTATTTTTTAAAAATTATTAAAATATAAAATTTAAATATACTATAATAATAAGATGTGCCTTTTAACTAGTATATATATGAGAAATTTGGTTATAAACCCCTCTTACCTTCCTTTTACTGTTAAAAGGACCAAGAAAAAAAATTATACTTTCAAAACCCCTCATAATTATAAAATCTTGTATAAAGGACAAAATTTATTATTTAAATATTTTATCAGACTATTATACCCTCAACTAAAGAGACCTCAGATTTCAGATTTGCCACAAATCCAGTAGATCCGAAGACCCTCAGATCAGCAGTGGCTTCTCGGTCAAGCGATGGGGGAGATTGACTAAGATTGAGAAAGAGAGAGGGAGAGGTCGTTGATCTTCGAGGTGTACAGACGGCTCAAGCTATAATGGACCATATCTGAGGCTGATTTGAAGGTCCAACAATGGTTGTTCTGTGTTGTGAGACAAAGAATAGAGAGGGGAGTGAGAAAGAGATAACCTCTCAGCTCTAGCTTACTTCACACCCTCAAGTCTTCCACCACAGTGACATCGAGCAATGGAGGCTGATTTTGAGAAGTTGGAGAGAGAGAGGGTTAAGGTTAGGGTTTGAAGAGAGAGAGAGAGGGAAAGGGAGAGGGGAGGGAGTGAGGGTTGGCGTTTGAAGAAACATGGTGATTTGAAATTGTTTTCCATTAATGGTGGATTTGAGCAAGTTTTCTATAATTATTGTAGATTAAAGATCCTTTGCCACCTATGGTGGTTGATTGTTGCAAAGTGATCATGAAGGAAAGAAGTTGGAAAGAGAGATTGTGCTTAGGAGCTTCTGGTCTTCCTAATCTGGTCTCAGAACTTTTGTTTGGTGTTCAATCACACTATTTGTATAGATAAAAGGTTGTGATTTGTTCAAAAATTTGATCTATTTGTTTTCAATCTTCTCAAGTTCTTTTTTTTAATTATTATTATTATGTAAGTTTAGATCATTTTTCGTTGTTGTTGATGATAATGAAGAAACATATTAAAACATATACTTTTTTTTTTCTTGTGTTGGTGTTGATGAAAATGACACTTGCGTGATTCAAAGTAGATACTCTCCTTAGATTATAGTAAAATTGTATTTTCAGAGTAAAATTTTACTTTGAATTAGAGTAAAGTTTATTATGATTCAAAGTAAAATTTTACTCTGATTAAAAACATGTTGATTTGCTTAACGATATAAAATTTTACTTTGAATCAAAGTAAAATTTTATTCTGGTTAAAAACATGTTGATTTGTTTAACATATAAAATCTTTTTTTGAATCATAGTAAACTTTACTCTAATTTAGAGTAAAATTTTACTATGAATCAGAGTAAAGTTTACTATGATTCAAAGTAAAATTTTATTCTAAAATTTTATTCTGATTAAAAATATGTTGATTTGCTTAACGATATAAAATTATAAGTTTTAAAATATTAGGAAATTTTGAAAGTACTTATATGATTCTTGTCCTTTTAAAAAATAAATTAAACAGTGATGGGTCTATTACCAAATCTCCTTATATATATATATATATATATATATAACTGTAATATTCATTTTGAAAATATATGGTAATTTCCTTGATATTTAAGGGTAATGTAGGCGTTTGGGAAGTGAGTTTTTTTGTAGATTTTTTTAGTTATAGGATATTATGGGAGAAAATTTTTTTTGTGATTGAAAAGATAGTTAAATTTTTTTATGATTTGATGTAATGTTTGTGAGAGAAAAAATAAAATAATTATAGGGTTTGATGTGATATTTTATTTGAATTTATTATTTTTTAATTTTATAATTAATTTATCTTTTAATAAAAAAACCTAAAATCTAACTTTCCAAACAAACCAAATGTTACACACTCGAATATTTACCAAATAAACAATCAAATGTCGACTCACAGTGTAAATCCACGCCAAACATTTGATAATACATTTGGTAAAGAGTCCCGAAAAATATTTAAATCTTCATTTTAACTGTGTAACTGTGTTTGTGTTTCATTCACACGCATGGTCCATCTGCTCTGACGTGGTGACGAAGCTGATAAACTCTATCCTTCCGTCCGTATTTCATCGTCAATTTGCGTCATTTCATCAACAGATAGAGAGAGAGAGATGATGATGATGATGATGATGACACACACAGGACCTGATTTCTTCTCTGCATCTGGTGGGGCACTGTCTCTCTCCTTAACCTCTTGTTCGTTTCGCCACAAATCTCTGAGCTTCTTTGGTCGCTTCGATTCGAATTTAGACAAGAATAAGAAGACTCCTACTCGTCGAATGTTTAAAGCGAGTCTAATAACTAATTCCGATTCTTTCGAAGTCGGTAGGCTTATTGGTAGCTATGGCTTCATCAACATCACCAGGTGTTAATATTCAATTCAACCCAAATCTCCGTTATTTATGTCAAACATTTTTGTATTAAATAAATAATTAAATAGCTAATACTGTGCTGAATCTAAACGCTAGTTTGATTGGGTGGACTATAATATAAGATTGGGATCATCTGTCTTAAATTCTATTATTTGGTTACAAATTTAACTATTCATATTAGATTCCAAGGTTCATACTATACTATCCAACAAAATTTAGAATTTTTTAATCCTGTCATACAAAATATACATATAATTGGAATTATATATATTTCCAAAAAGGGTATTACCTATCTCACTTTATTCGGCAAATTAGATAACTAATTCTCACTGATTATTAATCCCCTCATTATTAATCCTGTTAATTAAACAAGCTTTAAAAGGTTCACGAAAATGTCAAGATTGTTACTATTTTTTCATAAGATATGTGAGAATTTTGTATCACTTTCATGGAGTATCTTTCAAAGGAATGCCAAAACTGGCATGGTCAATCCCCCGAGAAATAGAGGGTACCTTTGGTTTCTGTAACGTGGGCAGTGTGAAATTCGCATTTGTTTATAATAATCTCGGTTAATCTTATCCATCAGTGTTGTTTTGGTCAAGTTATGTAGTTGGCTGTACTGTTTTCTTTCCAGTAAGAGCATACAATTTTTGAGTCTTTATTCTTTTTTTTTTCTTTTTTTTAGTGACTTTGGTCTTAAGTTGAATTTTCTTATATTTGATGGATGAAAGTTGTAATATTGCAGTTACTCAGGATTACAATTGGGAATGGACATTGAAAATTCAGCCGGAGATGTCGGCCGCTTAAGAGTTCAAGATGTGGGAGAAGGCAATGTGAAAATCAGGTGCATTAATTCGTGGACATTACTATAAGAGAACATGATTATATATGCTCCCCAAAAGAAACTAAGAAGGGGATAATAGGCTTTTGATAATGTACCAATTGGTTATTGTTAGTCTTGTCTGCCATTATTCTTCTTGTTGATACCATCCGTGGCAGTTCTTTTGCAGGCTTTATGAAGGAAGAATAGCTCAGGGTCCACTTAGAGGCACTTCTGTTATTTTTAAGGTGATTATTATTTTCCTTGCGGTCATGGCCTTTTACGAGCACTGTATATATATATATATATCTTGCTTTCCCAATGACGAATGCAATTTTACTTAAAGACCATGCATGAAGACAGATTGCTCATTACCTATGAAAGGGACATGTGTAGTGATGACTCGCTCAATTACTCATGCCTATCTTTTGCTAATGAAATCAATAATCTAGTATTTTTTTCCTTTTCAATTTCCTTAAGCTAAACATTGTCATAGTTCATCCTTGTGATAAATTTTGTCCTTGTGTACTTCCTTTTCATTTGTTTTTACTTTGAATTACTATAAGATGTCTTGTAGGCTGTAGCTTTGTTACTATTATTTTATTTTGGAGAAAAAAGGAGGAAAATTAGCTATTTAGGTTCTATTCTTTTGTGTAGCATCTGTCGGAAATTGGATTTTGTTCTTCAAATTTCTATTAATAAAAGTTTAAAATGTGTGGGCAGCTTGCTTTTTATGGAAAGCTTTCATTGCTGTATACTCTTAGACTACTTGACTACATGAATTGTGCATTTAGTTGTATTAGTAGGAACTCCAACAATTTCTTTTACATTAGCTTCTGTTCAACTGAGTTCTTTAAAATTACCATATTTTCTTCTTAATGTCATGCTAATGATGAAGGTTTATCCTGGACAACAAGTTGGTGGTGTTGAGGCTGATATGATGGCTGCAAATGAGCTAAATGTTCATGCATTCCTCCAAGTAAGATATCATACTTTCAATAAAAGATCTTAAAAGTACTTGGAAACTTCATTTTGTTATTATAATTTCTTCATGCATACTAGTGAATGGATTCTGCCAATAACCTTTTATAATAATGTTTTTCCTTTGCAGAGCAGTTCGAAAACTGTCTCTCAGAATCTCCAAATACTTCTTGGTGGGTTTGAGACAAAAACTGGGGAGCAGGTCTGTTATATAAGTATCATTCATATCACGTGTTACACGTTTCTTGGTAAATTTTTTACACAAGTTACATAAAATGTGTTCTGTACAGTGGCTTGCTTTTCGTAATGATGGGAAATACAGTGCCGCAGACTATGCAAAAGTTAAGAGTGAAAAAATGTCAAAACTAGGAGGGAAAAACTCCTGGAATCCTTTTGAAAAAGAGCTAACTATAAAGCGTAGAAGATTTTTTGTTATTAAGTTGCTTCATGGTGCTTTATGTGGCCTAGCCTACATGCATGACCATGACAGACTACACCAAAGTCTTGGACCTGCTTCTGTTGTACTCAAGTATGCTGTCTTTGGCATTTGTAATTTCATTCACATTGTGGCTTCATTTATCTCTTACACAATTGCTCTGTTCACTCTATTGAACATCATACAAAGTTCTTTTGACTAATGGCAGTACTGTGGATGAGAAAGATGCAGCTTACCTAGTTCCACGGCTTCGGGATCTTGCTTTTTCTGTTGATATACGGTATAGCCCTTGGTGTAATTTATTTTGAATGTACTTCATAACAACCAAACAAAGAAGTGTGCTTAAATTATAACATTTACAAAGGCTACAGTACGCTGCAGAAGAGCTAGTTGTCATGACCATGTAGGAAAATAACACAATTTGTTTGGATGGAGGGGTTTGGTGAGAAGAAAAGAAAAGAAATTGTGAGAAATGGTGTGAGATGGTGAGAAATAGACTCTCACCAAACCTGTGTTCTGTTTCTCACCAAAAGTGGTGAGATTTGGTGAGAAAAGAATTGAGTTTAATGATACTTGTTTAAAATACCAAAATTACCCTCATGAAAAAATGTGGCTTATTAATACGGAAGGTTATTTTGGTAAAATGAAATAAAACACTTTCTTTTCCTTTCTCTTACTTACGCTATCCAAACAAGATAGATGAGAAACCATATTCTCTTTTCTTTATTCATCCAAACATAATAGTGAGAAAGCATAATCATTTCTTTTCTTTTCTCACCTCCCCTCACGATCCAAACGGGGTGTTCATCTGGTGTTAGCTTGCCAAACATGCATATCTTAATTTAATGCATGTCTTCTTACCTTACAATTATCAATATCTAAGGCTGTTTTCTAATATATTTAAGATTTTGTTTTGTTTTGTTTCATCTTTACTCATATTTAGGGTATGTTTTACATTGACCAAAAAATATCTTTGCTTATATATGCATATGCAGTTTTTTTTTTTTTTAACAAAGAAATTGGAGATATATTACCAATTTGTGATGATTAATACAAGACATATAATGCTGAAAAGAAAATCATATGACCTGGACTTCTATTGAAAATTGGAAAGGTCATGCAGTAGCAGAAATGACTTTGAAGATGTTTTTATTTTCTCGTAATCTTGTTGATGAGTGCAGCATAACAATTTTGCATGAAACCTTTGGATAACAAAGAGACATGAACATCGCAAAACTAACCATGTAAGACAAAGAGATTCAAGATGTTACTTAGATGTGGGCATTAGCTAATCTAGTTTCTTCTAGAAAAACTCTTAGAGCAATTTGATAAGAAATGTTCTTAGTTCCTGCGGAAATCCAACCCATAAGTTCTCTTAGAAAGTATGCCTTTATCAGTGTTAAAAATATGTTGGTCAAGATTGGAGTTCTTCAATTATCCCCAATATATTGTGAGGGTTCCTTGGTGTAGGTTCTGTTGGATTCATGCACACATATATCCCATCCCTGATTTTGTGCATGTTAACGTGCTTCCTTAGTTTCCTTTGGAGAATACTTCATATGAAAACACTGTCTATACTCTTTTAATAATGAGTGCATAAGAATGCTGAAGCGAATTATTTGCAACAGCATCCTCCCATAGTTTTGGTGTGGCAAAACCTCTAGCTAAAACTGTCATCCCATCACTGGGTGTTCAGCTACTCAGTCACTAATTACCTACTTTTACTAGGGTTCAGGCTGGTGGTTTATTAGAATCTGTAACACCTTAATTGCTCTATTGCTCTGGATGATGGGTAAGTTCAAGGAGAGAAGGAAAAAGAAAAAGGAGAATATCGAGAATTATTTTAATGAATTACTTGTGTAACTGAGATTCATGATTACCTTCCAAATGGTGGTTTATAGGATCAGATGTTTCTAGGTATTCACAACTAGAGGAAGGTTCAGGAGCATTGTCAGAAGGACTTTGGAGACGGGCATCTGCAGCTGGTGCATTCACTCCTATGGAGAAAAGAGCCTTTGGAATAGCAGATGACATGTGAATTTCCTGAATTTTTTGTGGTTATTTTGAATATATAAGCTATTATTTTGCATGTCATTGTTTCCTGTTTGCAGATATGAAGCAGGTCTTCTTTTTGCATACTTGGCGTTTATTCCATTTTGTGAAGCAGGAATCATGGATAGCCTTTCATTGCAAGTAAGCTACAACAGTATGAAGTATTTCTACTGTTCATTCATGATTTCCACCTTTTTTCTTGAGTTGTAATTTAATTAGCTCTTCAATCCATCCTAAATTTTCATGCAATGAACTTACAGAGACTTCTGGAAAGCACTTTTCGACTTGATCTTGAAGCTACAAGAGAGTAAGAACCCCTCTCTTAAATTTTAAGATTTAAGCACTGCTTACATTAAAATTATATTCATATATCTATATATAGATTTTTTTGACGTGCGCACACAACATTATGAACAGAATTTTTGGATCCAGTGAACTTAATTCTGATGAGCTATAGTTGCATTAAAGACCTGAACTTCATTGAGGATTGGTGTATCTTTGCTGGAATAGCTACTGAATTATGCATTGCTCTGACTTGTGGGTTGTCTATTCTGACCTTTTTGCTAGTTCCTGTCAGACTATGCCCTTGAAATACTGATGATGGTTGTGTCATTGATGTATATTTGGTGGAATGCCCTTTAGCTACTGAGTTGTGCTTAGCTCTGACTTGTTGGTTGTGTTGCCTGGCTTTTCTAGAAGGTCCCCTGGGCCATGATAGACTAGGCCCCTCATGGGAAGGCTGTGTAATCTGAGGTTCCTACGCAAATGAAGACTACACACCAGAGGCATTTGGGCTTTATATGCTGATGTTTGCTTGAATCCTCACCAGATAAGGGTCCCCTGAATGTTTAAAAAACTATTTATCATATTTTTTGATTGTTGAAGTTTATGTCGTGAAAAACAATTCACAGTTGTTACTTGTAGATGGCTTGTAGCTTTATTGTGAAAACCATAATAGTAGAGCTTGAAGCCACCTGATTTTGGGTCTTTCCAAGCTCTCCTATGCCAAAAATGTTGGCAAAAGGAGTCAGGTTGCATTGTCAGCATTTAACTATGCTCCAATTATTTTTAGGTCTGGTCGAGGATCCTGTTTTGTTTGCCTATCCATTCTGATAACCTGCTAGCGTAAGGGCTGATTATTAATTGATGTCTACTATTTATGCAGCCATACTTAGCTGACCTTGATGAGTGATTGTAGACATACTACTAGCATTAGACTTCTGCCAGGCCATTTGCCAAATCTTTTCTACTTTTTGACATTGCTTACATTTAGCAGCTTCAAACGTAAGACCATCTGATATATTTACATTGGTAATCGTCGCCAAATGTTTCCATACTAATACAAAACAATTTTCTAATATTACACCTCTGGAATCATGACCTTTTTTTTCCTGCAGTCCCATTGTGTTATCCCATTTATGTTTTTAATATGGCACTCCTTTGCCATTGATCAGTTCATTTGCCCTTTTTTTTATTTTTTATTTTTTATATGGTGTAGGTATTGTTTAGCAGATGACCGCTTGTTAGAAGCTGTCAATTTTCTGGATCTCGGTGATGGTGCTGGTTGGGAATTGCTGCAGGTTTAATTATTTTCTGTGCTGACTTGATGGAAGCTATCTTTTTTGGGTAGTCTATTTAACTATCCAAAAAAGGGGAAAGGAAAGTGAAGAAACTTTGGTTCCCTATTGGCACTGTGGCTTTGTTCTTGATATACAATTGTTGTTTCTTTTTGATGCAGGCTATGCTGAACCCTGACTTCCGGAAACGGCCAATTGCAGAAGCTGTATTGAACCATCGATTCATGACTGGCTCTGTTCTTTGAGTTCTATGGGTTCACACCTGAATATATCTGTAAATGTAGACTAGTTGAGTTGGCTATTAACTCCTTTATACAATAACATAAATGAGAGTTCATGACCTTGAGCAATGTCATTGTGGCGTGGGGTTGAGTCTCAAAAACTAGCCTGTCTTAAAACAAAAAGAGGAAGGTTGCATACCTACTAATGCTACTGGAAGCTGGAGCTTTAGCTTTGTCTGTTGAATATGATCAATGGGATCTTTCTTTTAAATTCATGTATTCGTTGGGACTTGACTTATAGAAAGTGTGGTTTCTTTCTACACCAATTTTTATAAGCTTTAATTTGATGTTATCAAAAAAGTTGATTTTTCATTTATTTTTAATTTATCAAAGAAAAATTTCCGGAGGGGTACAAGACAGAAACAAAGCATTTGAACGAAGAAAATAGAAAAGGATATCAGGGAGAAGTCACCCAATTATAGCGGCATATTTCTATAATTAAAGACATTTTAAATTTCAAAATTAAATATCCCTTTCAAACAATTTTTAAAGTTTTTTTAATTTTATTTTTAACTATTAGTGATTTTTTTTTAATGAGTTATTATAGAATTACTAATTATTTCAATATATAATACTTTTCATATCCTGAACTTGTTACTATGATTGCAACAAAATGATTATGTCAACTGTTCAAACATGTTAAGTAACATGAAATTACATTGAGGAGAAAAAAATTATGTTTGTTTTGTTGTTTATAATTATATTTAGATGTTAGTTTTTTCTTTTTCTTTTTTTCTCTTTTAAATATAGGAAAATGTTATTTCCACTAACAACTAAAAATTTAAGAAATTTTAAGAATTCATTACTAACAATTTGTTAGCGACATGGTCTTTGAGGGTGTCTTTTATTTTCCCACAAAAAATTCTTACAATATATCATCTATCTAGGGCCGTCAATGAATTAGGTTTAATCCGAATTCGTTCCGAATCTAATTTGAATATGAAGATACAAAAAACTTGATCCGGCAATCCGAATCTGTTTATTAAACGGATCGAATATGCAAAAACCCGATTTGATTTGATAATCCGATCTGATTATTCTCAATTTGAATGAAGAAAACAAAATGGAAAAAAAGTTCAAATTATATAAAATTATAGCCCAATAAATAAATAAATGGATTAGATCGAATTATCGGATCGGATATTTAAAATTATCGAATTCGGCTAATTTATAATCCGATACATGATAAATAGATTTGGATAAGATTCGAGTTTGTTATAACCAAATTCGAATTCCAAATCCAATCCATTTATAGGCCTACTTCTATCAATACATATACTAAATGATTTTAAAGAATGGTATTTTGTTCAGTACATAACTTACCGTGTAAAAAATGCTTCTACCTTATCAATTTCATACCCTGACCCCCTAACCTGGCCACCATCAGCTTCTTCTCAGAACTACCCCATCCAAACAAACAATATTGATTTAATAATTGATATTCAAACAAACATTATTAGTTCAACATTTGATAATCGAATGGTGGTGATTGGTTAAGCACTAATAGTAGGTTGTTTGTGGCAGAAGGGAGTTCGTGAGGGGAGGAGGGGTATTTGTAGAAGGGGGTACATGACAAAAGTGAAGGTCAAGATAGTGGACGATTTCATGTAGAGCAGTTGGTGGTATTGGTAAACGGATAATGATTTGGGAATTAAAGTTTGGAATAGAGAAAATTTAGCAATTTTATTTTTAAGATAAAATTATAATAATAATAATAAAAAAAATATCTAAGTAAATGCATTAAGATAAAATGATGTGTGAAAATAAAAACTATCCTCACTTATTTCCAAAGCCAATTTTAAAGGCGAAATTATAGTACAATAGTGAGACAGTGAAAAAAAAATTATAAAATTATGCAAAATGAAAGTAATTATGTGATAGGGCGCAAGTGAGATATTGTGAGGTCTATGTGTATGTTAAAAAAACTTTTCTAACCCACTGGGATGAAATTTCCCATTTTTAAACATAATTCAAAAAGAGATATATATCATTCAACTCACAAGTTTAGTAAAAGTGATCTTTTAAATGCAAGACTCCAATTAATTTATTTTATGAAAATTATGATTTTTTTTTTGTTTTTCAAATAAGAACTTAGGCTACAAAACAATATGAATTTGCGAAATAAAATTAAAATAAGTTGTATTTGGTGTTTTTAAAATAAAACTTTCGGAGTTTAGGGCGTGGTGTGTTCTATTTAGGTATTAGGTTCAATTCTATGGTATCAATTATTTGGGGTTACATATGCAGGTTTTGTCTGAATTTGCCTGATCTACATGGATTCACGTGGAGGGCCCTTCTCCGACTCCCGGATCAATTGACGTGCATATAAATTGGTTCAGATAACAAAAAATAAAATAAAAAATTGTCCAATCTACATAGAGGGGTGCTCTGCATAAATTTCAAATTAATTAAGATGCGTGTAAACTGGTGCGAATACCTAATTATAAAATAAAATAAAATAAAATCTCTCTAATTAAAGATGTTTTTGTATCGGAGAATTCTATTTTATACACTTTATACTATATGCATCTTAGCTACGATCAATTTTTTTTTTTAGCTACGATCTATAAGATAGGTATGCTAAATTTTTCCAGTAGAAAAATTATTAAAACTTTTGAGCATGCTGCCTCAGTCCAGAATAATGATGAGCTCATGTACGTATTACATATTTAGGATCTTTACCCCTTTTTACAGAAATATAAATACGTCCATATAGGACTTCTTCAGGTTGCCTTCAAACCTTTGACACTTTTAGGTCAAAATACTAGTATTCAGTGTACATTACGAGATGGTAGGTGTACCAATTGGAGAGTTTCGCTAATGGGTGCCATAGAAACCAGCTTAGCTCATGGTCCCGTATACTTTGACATATATCCTAACCTGAGTGTAGCCCTTTCAGATCAAAACCTATCTAAGGTTTTATAATTAAGAGTTTTATCTCATGGTTATGAATATCTTCCAGGATCACCACCTTTTACGGTCATTTCCAGAATTTATTTAAAGGTTTTATCTACTTTAAATCCTTATATTAGAAAGCAAAGTGATCAAGGTCACACAGTGCTTATTGATACAAATTTATACAGTAGCCAGGTAACCATGCCAAAAATGATTGAATGGCAAAAAATTACTTTTCTAGAAAGATGGCAAATCCCCAATGTTTTTCCATCTAGACCAATTGTCCAGCAAAACTTGGATGATGTAATCCAAACAGATGGAGGTGATGTTTATCTCCGTTTCCAGCGACCATAAAGACACCTATCTAGAAGTATGTCAACTACTAGTGTTAGATCTACTCCCTCTTTTCGAGAAGCATATAGAGTAGATTTTCCTGAGTCATCCAAGCATTCTACATCTGAGCCTTTAGAATCTGTCATATAAGGTATGCCATCCAGACCACCAAGTAATCCCAACCATGTAAACCCGATGGATCCAGTTGTCCAAGGAATACAGTTTTCAACCAATAGAATCCCAGATGGTGTCTATGAACCAAGGGAATCCAGTAGCAAAGGACCTTATAGTCCTACTGCCAGTGATATGAATTTTGAAGTTTAATGGATTTTAGTCCAGGCAGTGAGAACCGAAAAATCCTAAATCAGGATTTTTACCAGGACATATATGCAAAATTCAGAGAATGGTATTTTGCCAACTACACTCCAGAACAATTAAAAGAAATAAAAATCCAGTAATATTAGTATTTGGAAACAAACCAAAAACTTCAACCATTTCCATTATGGTATAAGGAACATTGGAAAATCCAGAATTCGCAAATAAATGTATTAGAAAATATCCAGAAAAATTGGGTAACTACTGATGAAAATGTTATTACATCAGTCTATCCACCTGCAAAATCTTTAGAATTACTTCCAAGTGATTCTACTTCCAGCCAACCTTTAGTCATTACAGCTTTTGTGGAACCTCCACCAAAGAGCAACAATGCTTTGACTATTAAGGAAATTATTCCTGTCCTCAAACAGAATAATTATACTAATTTTTACTGTCAAACTATGGGTAAACAATTAACTAGAATTAAAGAAACAGTTGTTCATATTCAGAACACTTGTCATCTTCAACCAAAATCTCCAGACATCCAACCTGTAGCTTTTAAGACTACTCCTACAATTACAAATTTTAATTTAAAACCCAAAAAGGATAATACGAAATTTATGGATACACTTATAAATAAGATTAAAGGTCTTAATATAGGGGAATCCTCACAAGTTAACATGTTATCCAGAAATCATTTTCAGGAATTAGATGAAAATTATCAGAATTTGGAACTCCACTAAATATCTGAAATCCAGGCGAATTTTCAAAATGAACCATCATCTATTAATAAAGTTCATTATGGAACAAATATAGATAGAACTGCTTATACTGCTCCTAGCACGTACTATTATTCTAGACCTAGTCCTATGGATATTCTTTATGAAGAAGATTTCCTTCATAGCCAGAAATCCTACCACAGTAGAACCATTTATGAATGGAATATTGATGGTCTTTCAGAATATCAAATATTTGAAGTTCTCCAACATATGCTCATGTTTGCCATAGTATGCAAACAAAATGAGAATACTGACCATCAAGTTGCCAGATTTATTGTAAGTGGCTTTACAAGACTTCTTAAAGGATGGTGG